ACTTAACATATTGGCTGTTTATTAGTACTTAAAGCACATATTCTGCATGACCATATTCTACATCCCTAATCCTATTGCTAACCTTATACTACTTTGAACTACCTTACTAACTATTAATAAGCAGCAAATTAGGAGTTTATTGATGCAAAAAGTCGTAGTTAATAGTTTGTTAATGGCGAAAACTGGACCTTAAAATAAAGTGTGACCATGTAATTTATTCCTGTAATGGCAAAGCTGAATTTTCAGCAGCCAGTACTCTTCAGTGTTAATTGATCTTCAGGAATCATTCTAATATTCTGATTTTGTGTTTAAGAAACATTAATGTCAATGTAGAAAACAGCTGTGCTGCTTAATAGTTTTGTGGAAACCGTGACACTTCTTCAGGATTCTTTGATGAACAGAAAGCATTTTTTTTATTACATCATAAATTCTTTACTGTCACTTTTCATCAATTTAATGCATCTTTGCTAAATAAAAGTATTTTATTAACACATATAATAAAAGTATTTATAAAAAAATACAAAAAGTAATAAATCTATTAATTTCTTTCAAAAATAGTGTAACTACTTAGCAATAGTGCACAATTGTGCACAAATGGCTGCTAAATGTAACTTGTTTTACCATATGCAGTGTACGGTGTTGGCAGGAAGTGCCAGGAAAAAAGAGAGTGCTCCACTTTTTACCAAAAACCCATTGAAACTCCAACATAAAAACTTCTATAAATTCGAACATAACAGTTAAACAATAACAAGTTTCCCCTTTTCTCATCTTGCTCAAAAACAGCATTATTTCAACATGTACTCTCCCTAGTCACAGTCAAAGCATGCTGGGATCTAGAAATCCCCTGCCCAGTTTCAGCAATATTACATTAATGCCAACGAACATTATTCATGTAGTCTCAATGCAAAATGGATTATATAAACTTCAATTTAAGTGGATTTCATGCAATAAAATGTTAATACATAAATGTCTGAAAATAGTGTTGTATTAGCATTCAAATTAAGCAAGCAGCAAAAACATGCTTTTTGTAGAACAAATATTTAGACAATATGGAACGAGCGGAACAATCAAGACTTGTTTCTGGGTCTCACACTTTTCTAAAGGTACAGACCACTGTGACTTTCAGAGGCTACAGTTTTATTGGGAGGGTTTTGTTGTGAATGAGGGTTAGGAGAGTTCCAGGACCTCTTTCTCATTTTAGGCTCCTCTTTAGGATCCTCTGTGCTCAAATCAGCCCCTGAGGACCAATCAGCCCTGAGGGTTTATACACGGGCCCTTTACAACTGCCTCCCTTTCCTGCCACCTAAATTTCTCCGGTTTCAAGTCCTCAGGGCTTCATCAAATACTCACATTTCCCATTAATGCTGGCTGGAAAACAGATATGTGCAACGGACCATGGGAATTATGCAATATCTCATTTATCAGCCGGGAGCTTTTTACAGATTTGAGGACATGAACTATGATTTGAGGACAGATCCGTGCTGTTCGGTTGGAGAAGCACATTTTTGATGCCTTTTGACCTGTTGAGTTTCAAAAGCAGAAGAATCTTTAAAAAAAATAAAAAACATTCACACTGTTGCATGATCTTCCTTGAGGTCATTTGTAGCTTTCTTCAGTAGTTTACTGTCTTGAAATGATTAACGTGTCTGACCTACATATCTTAAAGCGTATTTCAGTCAATTTGACAACTGTGTTGGATATTGAAAATCATTTGCGTTAGGTCACATTCATTTGGTTCTATGTGTCTGTATCTGTAAACGTGTCAGTGCATGTGATACCTTTAAAATAAAAAAAAGCTGCATCTGTCAAAAAAGACAGCAAGCAGGTGGTAGCAGCGACCTGAATTAATTGAAAAATGACTCAAGCCTTCACAAAGAAAATGTATTAGCTGTTTGGTCCAGCAAATCATGACTCACAGGTGGAGTTTCAATTCAAACTTATCACGGACCGCATTAAACGCCTAGACCGGGAAACCAATTAGCATTATCACAATACCTGACTGATGATTCACACTCATGATCAAAGTGAGATCATCCAGTGTTCCCAATGTCAATTTGCTCGACCTGGAGGAACCCCAATTCCTGCCATTTTTTTAATAGGGATGCTTTGTCTGCAAAATGCAAGGCTTATTAGTTGCGATATTAAAGGCTTCTTACATCTGCATGTAAGACATGCTTTTAAATGTACCAGGGGAGCACTTAGAGCAAAGATTATATGTCACGCCATATGGTATTCTCTTCTTAGATACAAACACAAGGCGATGCAGAGTTTGCTCCAAGTGAATTGTTTTGGGGTTTTTTTTAACTACATTGAGGACATTCTGGTAATTCTGGGAAAATTCCCCCATTTTTATATGCACTTCTCAATATAACTCAATAGCACTACTTTATAAACTATAATAAATTCATACAGTAGAACAGGATCTGTGTGTCGACCAGCCCAGTGTTGTGTTTTGACAAGTTGGACAAGTCACAACAGAACTAAGTAATCAACTAGAACTAAAAGGTCAAGAACATACAAAAGAAGAGCTGCACGATTTGGGGGAGAAATCTAATTCCTAAATAATACATATATATTTTTGAGTGTGTGAATCATCAGTCAGGTATTGTGAAAAAAAAAATGAAAAAAAATTTATATATATATATATAACAATATATAACAATGACAACAATAAAAGTATTGTTTTATATAATAATAATAATAATGTATAATTATTGTTGTTGTTTTTGCTGTCATATTATTGTCATGTTGTTGTTGTTACAGTGAAATATTACAATACAAATATTTATTTGTTTAATATTTTTATTTAGCAATACTACTACTAATACTATTACTAATTATTATTATTACTAAATAGAAAAGAGAAAATTAGAAATGTTACTATTGTAGTACTGTTCTGTAAAATTACAATACTATATTAGTTTATTATATCTCAATTTCTTATTATCTTATTAATATTGTCTTATTATATCTTATTATCTTAATTTCATCATTTTCAAACATTAAACCATTGAACGTTTTGCCAGAAAACCAAAAGAATGGGTTTTATGCCATTACATTTAAAGTAAAAGATCATAAAAAATTGTAGATTTTCTGTGCAATATTTAATAATATTTATGTTAATATTAAAATGAAATATTTAATAATAGGACTTGCATTTTTTATGTGTTAAAATGTGGCACTCATTCCCTCTACAGTGGATAAAAAAAGCATGTTTTGTTTTGTAATGTGTCCATTAACTATTATGGGCAGAAGTGAGTCATGCCACAGCAAGGGTCGTGGTTACAGGTGATGGACTCTTTCCAGTTACCAGATCCTCCTTTGATAACAACACAACAAGAACATAGACATTCACTTCCACACAAAGAAACAGAAATAGTCACTGAAAAAGAGAAAAAGAAATGTCAATGTGTCAATAACAAAGACCAGGCTTCTCTTTTCATTGCATAGCTTGTTTTTCTTATTGCATAATATGTGCAATGATAAAGAGTCAATCTAGACAAAAGACTAGCCATAGCAAAGAAGAATCAAGGCCAGAGAAACAAATACAAATGTGCAGGACCAAGGCAGTCTCTTTCTGCAGAGAGAGAAATGTTTGATTATGGTATCAGGATTGGTTTATTTCTTGTTAAGTCTACTACAGTACAATGTGTGCTATCCCAGAGTGCTCTGTTCCAGCATAGTGCCATGTTACATAATGAATACTTTGACCTCTTGAGAAATGAAGGGAGGTGAACACTTTTGCTAGATTTGGCCAGCATGTTATGATATGAACTGCTCTGTCCTGGTTCATTGCCATTTACCTGTGACCTGAGAGAAAAGCATATTTACAATGGCATATGTCTGTTGTGTATGGTCAGATGAGGCCGTTTTGCCTGTTTTGTGGAAAACTCTCATTCATATGAATGCATACATTGTTTTTCCCCCTTGGATTAGCTACTGTACAGAGAGGGTTGAAATTAAAGCGAATCGTAGCCTGAAGTGTTGCACTAAGTCAACAGATCAATTACTAACAAACTCTACCTCAGATGAACTTCCTTTTATATTCAGTGGGAGAGAAAAAAAAAATCAGCTTATGCTTTATTTCGATAGTCCACTTTAGACATTCTACTAACTATAAGTAAGTAGGTTTGCTGCTACGTATCAGCTTACTCTCATAATTTGCAATTGCATGTTAACTAACTCTCAACAGAGTATTAGTAAACTAATAGGTTAGGGTTAGTAGAAGTTGACATGTTCTTGAAAGTTATAGTCTGTTGGTGACCATAAATAAAGTGTTAGCAGATATTAAGCAGATAATCACTGGTAGTTGGCATGTGGTTGCAAAGTTCTGTATTATTAGCAGATTGTCTAAAGTGGACAACTGAACTAAAGTGTTACCCAAAAAAATCACACAACAGCACTACAAAAGAAAATCATCAAGACTGCTGAATTAAAACAGCATTTCTTGTCTCTTTGTCAGATCCATTGTTTTAGTATGTGCTTATTTTAGCAAACAAATATGAATCTAACCAAAGAAAGAAAATGTGAATTATTATCATTTGCAACCCATTTTATTTTTATAATGTGACACATTTTTTAAGTGAAACATGGGCGTTACATACCAGAATGGAGCCAGACCAAATGCTACCCACAAACCCTTGTGGCCTAAGTGACATTAGTGGGAAAAAAAAGTTTGTTTTATAGAAAGAGGAAGTTAATACATATTGATCAGGAAAACAAACATTAAAGGTATAGTTCACCCAAAAGGTATAGTTCTGTCATTAATTACTGACCCTCATGTAATTCCAAACCCATAAGATCTTCATTCATTTTTGGAACACAAATTAAGTTATTTTTGATGAAATCCGAGATCTTTCTGACCCTCTATAGACAGCAAGGCAATGTGCACGTTCAAGGCCCAGAAAGGTATAAGGACATTGTTAACACACACACACACACACACACACACACACACACACACACACACACACCTAGATGCTAAGGGGCTCATAACTCACCAGCTGTGCAAGACATCTCAAGACACGGTAAGATAGAAGCAAAGGGGTGACATGACTGGGATCAAGCCTGCACTGGCTGCCTGGCCCCTAGAGACACACAAACTCTGTTAGACACACATAAATGTGTCAATACACTACACAGCTGAAATATGCATGAGGTGACATATAACAGAGCTATCACCTTACAACCGCTTCGCACGCCAATGACAATGTAGGTTCAGTGACTGGATCTCATTTCACTGTGGAAGGGAAGGAAGTGTGCTGAACATTAGAGGTGTTATTGTTATAATCTGCTCTGATATCACGTACTAATAATGTTACTGACTTTCTTTAGTTCAAAATACAGACAAAAAGCTGATATTATTAAAAGTAGTGCACATTAGTTTTATGGTTTTAAGGAAGACAACATGTACTGATAAGGATTATATGACACACACTTCCTCTTTTGTAATCTGAATCTCAGCATGTACACACTTAAGTTATATGTGGGTCTTAAGCTATACATATATGAAGAGTTTTCTCAACCAGTGACATAAACTTTAAGCAACAGCTGTCAAGTATCATGGAAAACTGATCAAATATTTACCTAACATTTTTCCTTCTGTCCCTCCTTCCAATCACATCCTATCTAAAGTAATTGATTAACTGATTAAATGGACCCTGAACAGCATCTACAGACTAACACATACTCACTCTCGCTCTCTCTCTCTCTCACACACACACACAAATCTGTATTGTTAAAAGCGCTATATAAATAAAACCAGGATATATAAACCTGTACACACACACACACACACACACACGTCTGGCTTGCTATCCTTGTGGGGACTCTCCATAGGCGTAATGGTTTTTCTACTGTACAGACCGTATATTCTATTGCCCTACACCAACCCTACCCCTAAACCTACCCCTTACAGGAAACTTTGTGCATTTTTAGATTTTCAAAAAACTTAATTCTGTGTGATTTATTAGCTTGTTTACCCGTGGGGACCTCAATTTAGGTCCCCACCATGACACGAGTCCCCATGAGTCTGTGTGTATTCAGGTTTAAGTCCCCACCAGAATAGAAAAACAGGTACACACACACACACCTGTGAATGAACAAATAAACATGAACATACACAAAGCTGCCCGTCTGGTTTGCTATCCTTGTGGGGACTCTCCATAGGCGTAATGGTTTTTCTACTGTACAGACCGTATATTCTATTGCCCTACACCAACCCTACCCCTAAACCTACCCCTCACAGGAAACTTTCTGCATTTTTAGATTTTCAAAAAACTTAATTCTGTGTGATTTATTAGCTTGTTTACCCGTGGGGACCTCAATTTAGGTCCCCACCATGACACGAGTCCCCATGAGTCTGTGTGTATTCAGGTTTAAGTCCCCACCAGAATAGAAAAACAGGTACACACACACACACACACACACACCTGTGAATTAACAAATAAACATGAACATACACAAAGCTGCCCTATAATATCCTGTTAAATTTACATTACAATAATGTCCGCTGTTTTTATTGGTGACAAAAATTTTCAGGCATTATCGTGCCTGTATTTTTTATATTTTATTGTCGTTTTAAATTTTTTATAATTAAAATGTTGTATGTTTCATCAACTGGTGTTATTTGAATGTACCAAGATACCTTAACTACGCAGATCTGCTCTGTACGTTAAACTATACTGATAACCTACAATTATACAGGTTGAAAAACAGAAGGCCCTATGATGAATTAAAGTTCACCAAAACTGGCACTCCATGAACTATGACTCATATAAACATGTGCAGACAAAGCACAGTGTTACCATACAAATACAAAACACCATCAGGGTAACTAAACATTACATGTAATACAGTAACCAATAACTAAAATAATTAGAAACGCAGCGATCTTCAAATAAAGAGTTACTTAATTATAATTTATGAATTTAAATGTTATTTAATAATCATTTTAATTAAAAAAAATACTACAGTTTAAAAGTTTGTTGTCAGAATTTGTAATGTTTTTGGAAAAAAAAAAGCTTAATATTTTGTGGAAAATCTGATACATTAGGATTTCCAAAGAGAAAGGAAAAATTGAAATCGCATCATATGACCCCTATAATGAAAGTTCTAAATACCAGCATTTGAATTACATTTTTCTTTACTGTCACTTGTGATTTAAAACAACTGAATGGCAGTGTATATAAATGATTTCATACTTCTACTTCCAAAAAAAAAAAAAAAAATGTAATGTCTGTCATGTTAAATCACTAACATGCTTTATAGCGTTTTAACATTCTTTTTTTCTGTTTAGATTACAGAATTACCGTTCACTTTGCTTCTGATAATAGTCCAATTGCGTGTGTGTTTTGTGCATCTCATTAAGTTGCACAAACCAACAGTTACATGCTATCTAGTTATGTTGAAGAGGCCTTGGATTTACTTCAGCTCACCAGCTGACTCTGATATTAACAATATCAGACACCAATTTACTGGAATACCATGAACTTTACTGGAAACCTCCAGCTGCACAAACATGCATGTTTAACTGAAAAACGTCAAACTGTGTCAATCTAGCAGGTTAGAAACTTTCACACCAGGCTTGATCTTGTTTAATCTCATGAGAACATACTTAATAAATGTGCACAGTGAAATCGACTCAGTTTCAGGCCTCTTATTTGTCAGTCTATTGATTTATGTGTGGTCATGTGACCAAGTGCTGAGAATAATAAGGCTAGATAAGGTTGTGTGGGGAAGGTGGTATATCCCATGGACCCCAGGATCTCTTCTGTTCAGCTCCTGAAATGTCTCTGTCAGCCCGAACAAGTTCACGATCTTAGACAGCCTTTTGCAGCAAATGCTGTGTAGGCAGAGGGAAATAAAATCAATGGGGTTACATATTATTATCATTACCAGGTGTGGATGGGAAATGAGTTCTGTAAGTAATATCTCACAAAACATGAAACAGATTTCGCAAAAGGCTGTTTTGAAACCACTGCCTTGGATGATAAATATTGACAGAAGTATTGATGTGCAAAGAGATGTGACAGAAGTGATGCATCAAGCAGTCAATCAGAGAGAAAGAGGGATGTTTGCCATTTGTAATGGGCTGAGTTATCAGGTATTTCTCACTGGAATTCATAGTATGGCCATAACATTTTTTTAAATCTTTATTAGATTCACTTAGATTAAAGGAACTTATTAAAAAATATATAAAGGGAAATTTTAAGGTTAATTCTGAATGTACTATGTTTTCACACATAATTCTTTGGAGTTCCAAGGAACAAAACATAAAAACATTCTAACTCAAAGAAATGGTTTCACCAGAAAAACAGGCAAAGTTTTTTTTCCATCATGTCATGTTCATTCATTTCTACCATCCCGAAGACCACTGAAAGAACACCGTTTTATTTTGACATTAGTCCGCCAGAGCATATGGTCTTCTAAAGAGGCCTTTGCCAGTACTAATGTTCAAATCTGGGCAAAGTGAAGACGGCGCACACACAATGGACATGAGCCCTTTGCCTCTCAACAGGCAGCAGGCAGTCAGTGTTCAAAACAGCAGCTCTACCATTCCTCTCTCTCTCACTTTTCCTTCTCTTAAACAAAACCAACCACAGTACCGCAGCACAAACATAACAGACTTACTCTTCTTATACTTTAGAGCATATGGTCTTCTAAAGAGGCCTTTGCCAGTACTAATGTTCAAATCTGGGCAAAGTGAAGACGGCGCACACACAATGGACATGAGCCCTTTGCCTCTCAACAGGCAGCAGGCAGTCAGTGTTCAAAACAGCAGCTCTACCATTCCTCTCTCTCTCTCTCTCACTTTTCCTTCTCTTAAACAAAACCAACCACAGTACCGCAGCACAAACATAACGGACTTACTCTTCTTATACTTTAAAAGAAGAGAGAGAGAGAACAAAAATAGCTTCCACAAGCTGCCAACATCTCCGAAACAGTCTAATGCTAATTGAAGTACAGAATAAAAACTGCCAGAAATCAGGGAATAACCAAACACAAGATAGATAGATCTGATAGCCAGCTATCCCTTTAAAAAATATATAAATACATATATCAATAGATTATAATTAATAGATATAGATATTTCTAGGAAGCATCTGTTATACATATTTTATACTGAGGGCATCTTTACAGAGGGAGAAAGATTGTCTAAATGCATGACTTAACCTAGATAGATGGATAGATGGATAGATAGATAGATAGATAGTTTCAACCAGATGTTTCAGTGAACTGAGATGTTTCAGTGGACTGAGATCTTGTGATTGAATGGTGCTTCATTGCTGTGTATGTGTTTTATTGACAGGGAGCCTGATATACCAGCCTGGGCTCCTCTCCTGTATCAGCTGCAACTCCTAGACTTCAGAGAAAAGCCGGACCCCCTTTCACTGCCCATCCCCGAACGGATCCGCATCGGCAACCAGAAACGAGAGCGAGGCAACTTCTACTTCCAAAGGGAAGAGTACAGCATGGCAGCCCAAGCTTACTGCATGGCTTTAGACATGCTTACGACACGAACATATGGTAATCCAACCCACAGTGCCCTTCAAACACCTGTGTCATAATGCAGGAACATTAAGCAGGAACATGCCAGAACATGCACAAATCTTTCATGCGTATAAATGCATAAGGGCACAGATCTCAACAACAGGAAATGTTCTGATAATAGGCTATTTATAAATATTATAATTTCTAATATTTTTTCTAATATTATACATAACATATACTATTAATTAACTTCAAACATACCAATAAAAACATGTTTATAAAAAAAAAATATAAATTATATTATTATATTATAATGTAGCTAACTTCTGGAGACTATATATATATATACATATATATATATATATATATTGGCTTCATGATATCTAATAAATCGTTCAATGGTGATGGAGAAAAACCCTATAATAGCTCTCAATTCTGAGCAGTTCTAGCAGCTCAGCAGCTAATCTATTTGATCAATAATCATGTCATCGGAATGCTCAGTCATGTCTGCAAGCTGTGACCACCCCGAGTAACGCTCTTATTAAACCCTACGCTAATCAAACGTAATAAATCTACATGTTATTTCCACCTCCTTAATCATGGTAATTGCTGGAAAGCCTGGTCCATCTTGAGAGGAACGTTTGACGGTAATGAGACAGTAAAGTGCAAAGCACCGCTTTGGATTATAGACACTGATAATGACCACACATGCAGAAGTGATCTCCACATCGCCACAGTCTCCACTGACCACTCAAGCATCACATATTAGATTCTCCTTCATTTTCTACGCAATATTTTTCTACATTCATACATTTCTATCTCATTAGCCACTAAGTAGTAATTTTTCTAAATTATTTAGAGAAACGATTTTGTAGCAAACAAACACGAAGTCCCTCTGCATACAGTGATATTCAATACAAATGGTTACTGTAGGCTATATTTGCAATTGGCAATCACTAACCCATACACAAAATATATATTAGCAAGCTCTACAAGTAAGGGAGCGTTCACATCGAATGCGTTTGCATCCCATTTTGTTGCTTTTCCATTGTAAACACTTGCTAGATGGACTTTTTAAACTCTCACACATATGACGTGGCGTTCTAAAAACGTGGCGCTTAGAATAAAATTAATTAACTTAAACGCATTCGAGACCTTTTTTTTTTTTTGCATGTCATGACTTGCATTTCACGTTTTAAATGCAAAAACGCATTCTGTGCCAACTCATTATGAATTGACTCCCAAATATCAATGGCCGAGTGCTGCCCAGTTGCAAGTGTGATATTATAAGAGTTAAAAAAAAAAAAACATATTAGTTAATAATGAGTTATGCCTACCTACATTTAGGCACAATATTGCCAGGTAATTGGCAGAGCGTGTTATCCAAACTAAACCACTGTAGGCCTATATCCAATTACTTTTTCTCTGAGAAACAAACAATATGTCGTTCCCAGATCAGTTGTTGAATGGTTTACTGATTGACTCAATGATTCACTGATAAAGACGGTCCCTGAATGAACCAGTAGCTATTATTAAACAAATCGGTTGAGTGAATGATTCGATAACCCACTCATAAAAACAGTCACTTGTTTAGTTCCTGAGTGAATCATATTTTTGAACAAATGGACTGAATCTTACTCCTAAAGACAGCCACTTTTCGCCACCTACTGGTTTCAATTCAACTGTTTTTTTTTCCAGTTTAATATACACTTTAAAAAATGTTTCATTCATCCAATTAAAAAAATTTAGGGTAATGATTCACATCTATATTTTTTTACTTGACTTGAGCCAATGAAAAATAAATAGCTTACCCTAAATTTTTTTAATTTATTTTATAGTGTAGGGGGCTTCTAGAGAGCATTTGATTGGACAGAAAGTTTGATGAGAAGCTGAAGTACGATGTGACATCAAAAAAAAAATCGTTGAGCCGTTTTGGCGGAAGTGACGAACTGCAAGCTTTGAATGCTTATGTCTTCTAAATGCGAATTTTGTCACTGTTTTGGAGCACACTGCCTTATAGATAACCTTAAGACTAACATATTGATACTAACACCCAAAAAAACTTTAATTTTGATTTCATGGGGACTAAGCCAGCAACCGAACTTACGTTTTTAAGTTGAAGTTGGTGTTTATTTTCTACAGTGAAATCCCTACCACAAATGCACAGACTGACAGTCTCTCTGGAACAAACAGTGAAGTCACAGTGCAGTTGAACTGTTATATCAGCACTGTTGGAACACTGCTCGACCAATCAGATTTGAGGCCACTAACTAATGTACAATGCCATTTACACTGGATTGATCCATAAGAAAACACATTTTTAATTGTGTTTAATGTTTTCTTTAGTGTTATACATTGCCACAGCGTGGTTATAAGGGGCTGTACAATTGTGTCCTCCTGTAGACAGTCAAAGCTGTGCGGCAGAGGAGGAAGAAGAGGAGGTGAACGACTACCGGGTAAAGTGTCTGAATAACCTGGCAGCAGCACAGCTGAAGCTTGGACAGTTTGACGAGGCGCTGCACAGCAGTCGAGATGTGCTGTTCCTGGATCCCCAGAATGTCAAAGCGTTATTCAGGAAAGGGAAGGTATGGATGAATATTATTCAACAAACTAGGCACTGAGATCATTTACAGTTCATACATGATGGGTTTATATTTCCATCTGGATTGTACTTTTTCCGAAAACAAAGAGTCATATTTATTGTAATCTGGTAATGTAAAATGTGTCTGCAGCTTTTATCGGACAGGGGTGAGTATGAGGAGGCCATGGAGACCCTGAAAAAGGCTTTGAAACTGGAGCCGTCCACTAAGGTGAGAGGCGTAACCGTATCTCCTGAACACATCTAAATTTCACGTGAGCTGGCAACAGAAAATCCCATTAGCAGCTATTTACAGATCAACTGACCTTTGGGAAAAACCTGGCCTAACAGGAACAGTGTTATTTATTTCAAATTCAATGCCAACTCATACACACTGTGGGTCAAGAATGAAGTTTGCATTGAAGCCAACAGGTGCTTTATTATTATATTAATCTTCCAATGTTCATTAGTAAACACCTTCCAAAATGGTTTTAAATGAGTATCAAAACAGAGAATGCATTGTGGATCTATTTAAGACAATTTTTAAAAATGTCTTTCTAATGTGTTTGCATTTCATACATATCACAGTTTCCCGACTGGTCTGTTTGAACATTCAACACAAACTTAAGACAAGGAAGTGAAAACCTGTCCTGAGAAATTCCACTCAACATACGAGTGCATGCAAACAATATCTGAGTGAACATGCAAATATTTGTTTCTACAGCTAGACTCTAATACTATCTGAGAATGAGTTTTGTGCTGCGTTACAATCCACAGAACCCAAACCTGTTCTGTCACGCCTTTGAGAATCTGTCAAATCCTCAGAGCAGCCACCAAGATTAGAGCTGTCTGGAGCCAGTACATGGACACAAAGTTACACACACACACACACACACACACACACCTTCCAGTAATAAAGTGAATCAGCACTATACACTGTGGAGGTTTATGACATTCAAGAAGCAATAAACAGAACAACTAGCTTCATTCGTAATACTGAATAATATAATGGCCCATTCTGCTAAAAAAAAATAATAATAATAATAATAACAAAATGTCATGTCTCTATCTGTTTTATTATAAAGTTGCACAACATGCAACTCCATGAAAGCATAATGCAATATGCATAAATATTTATATATATATATATATATATATATATATACAGTACATATCACTTGTGTATATATATATCTCCTAAATGTTATATTACAATATATTATAAATTACAATCATCCCATATTTGACAAAATATTACAATATTTGTCAAATATGGGATGATATAAGAAAGAATGAAGCAAAGACATTTCACAGATTGTGTCTGGGCCTGCTGATGAGTGATTTTGTGATTGACCTCAGGTCCCCTCACACTGTGCTTTGACCCAGAGCGCTCATGGTGAAGAGTGAGCCTTGTCTAGACAAAACTAAAATATCTGCTGTTCCTATAATGACACCCCGTCTGGATGGCGGGGCAAAAAGCAAACATTCCCTCAGGAGGGAACTCATTGCAAAATTCAAATTAGGATCATAGAGTCAGAGATGGCATGGGATGGAAAACGTGGTAATACATGTGTTGCTATATACTTTTGATTTCAGCAGTCTCTTAAGTGTATACTCTGTGCTAATGGCTTTTGATTAAAATACACGTGTAGGCCTATGTAAATCTTTACTCACTAAAAGTGGTATATTAAGGAAAACATTAAGATTTCACATTCAAAATCTGCATGGTGTTAAAGTAGCAAAGAATAGGCGATAAAAAGCTCAATAAAGTGATTTCAGTCACATACCAGATTCTCGCACTGATAACAAAGAGGTCATAAAAATGTATAATCCAGTACTACACAAACGCAGCTTGCAGACGGTGAAATGGCACCATCTGTTGGTCAGTGTTAGAAAGTGCAGGACCACCTTATTTTTCCACAGAGCTGTAGTAGGCAATAAAGATTAAAAGTTTTTTTTTTTTTTTTTACTCTGTATTACGAGTTTGAATGCTAATATTTTTTCTTCATATTGTATTTTTATAGGCTATTCATGCTGAACTGTCCAAGTTGGTAAAAAGACAGGCGGGGGAAAGCGAGACCGAGAGTTGGCAAGCTAAACCAGCTGAAATGTTCGTCGAAAACATAGCGCCCTTTCTGACACCTCCTCCCAAAAAGAAGCCGTTTGTAAGTGACTGACTACCACCTAGTGAAGAGAATAAAAGTGGTGGAAAGGGCCTTTTAAAATGTGCCAGAGCTGGCGTCCAAGTGCCGCCATTGTTTGATCTCGTTTCTTACTCTTTCAGGGAATTTCTTGGAAGTTTCTGCTTGGAGCTCTGGTGGTGGCCTTGGGCAGTTTAGTCACATCTGTGGTTCTGACCGCACGGAACTAGCTCTCTCGACCTACTTGCAAATTAACTACAAGTCTCACAAACAAACATTCCACAGAGCTGCTAAGGGACAGAGGAAAAATGCATTGAACTGTTTAAAGAGCTGCTTTATGGGCGGTTCTACCGGTGGCACACCAACTTATGCAAAACAGAAAAAAAGGGCAAGGCAAATGCATTTAAACTACTTGCAATAAAAACACTAGTATTAATATGTTTGGCGTTTTGTTTTGCTTTCTGCTACATGACATGTTAATTACTGGAATTTAGGGGAACAGCTGCCATTAAATCATTATGGTAGAAAAGTCAGGGATGAAAAATACAAATGTGTGTAGAAATGAAAAAGTTAACAAGAAATCAATATTACATTTACAACCAAAATGTTGCAGAAAACAACATTCAAACTGTAGATGAACAATATGGCTATACAACAAATTAATCAACTGTTACTTATATTTTATCTATTTGATGACAAAAGGACTAATAAAATCAGCATTACAACATTAATTTCTAAACCCATTCTACTTTCAAATTGTGAAATATAAATCTAAGACAAATTTTAAATAGCTCTTCAGCTATTAGAATTGTTTCATGATAAATGTTAATATATTATAATGAATAAAATATACATAATACCATAATTAACATGTATTAAAATATTCTTCACCGAAGTTGTTTTAGCATTCACTATCTCCCCCCTTCAAATTTATTTTTGAATATTCAGTTCTTAAAGAAAGAAAGACATTGTGGTTAGATAAACAAGCAGCTTTGTCATAATGCAGCTGAAATACCAGAGGAAATATATCACCTTAAATGCGGAGTTGTTTGAATATTGGGTTGGACTATGGGTAAAAAATGTTGAAAACCAATAGATATAAAAAAAAAAAAATTCTGTGAAATAACATGAAATAACGTATCATTCATAATGAATGACACCAGGAAAAGGCATTAGGCAAGTAAATAAGGTCCGTTTTGATTTCATGTTGACTTTACAGCTGCTCACAGAAATGTAACTACATCCGACCTTGAATACTAACCCACACAATTACTCTGGCACTTCAAGGTTCAGTTTCCTGGGTATGAGCATTACTCTGTCCTCCTCCACACTCTGGCACTCCTGTAAACAGACTGAACGGTGACTCATCTGTACAGAGGATCTAATACGATGGCTGATTAATCTATTGTTGCCCAAACCAGTTGGTGTGACATGTTGGAGGAGAATCACAGATTCTGTCGCTGACTGTTGTATCATGATGAAGGCATTGTCTCTGAACAGCACAGGTGGCATATCTCAGATGAATGGCTGACGTGTCAGTTCTGCTTTACTTTGCTATGGTCATTTGAGTGCCAAAAAAAATGTAAAAAAAAATACAGGAATGTATGTTTTAATTGATGGGTTTTTTTTTTTTTTTTTTT